GTCCCCCGCATCGGCAGGCGGACTCTCAGCCACTGCGCCACCAGGGAAGCCCTTTCTAGGTCCTTTGCATTGCTCTATGAGTTTCGTAATCACCATGGCAGGCTCAGCCCTCCCCCAGTCCTGGAGAAGAGGGTGCGATGGGCCGACTGGGCCGCGGCTGTCCCATACGTGATGACCCGCGACTCTGAAGGCCTCTGGCGCCCTGGAAACCTGCTCCTCCTTCTGGCGCCCTCGCCCCGAGGAGGCCCTTTGCCGGGAAGAGGCTGATCCGGGGGCAGCCCGGAGGCCGAGGCGTCCTTCCCAGCTCCCCAGCCCGAAGTTGTTACGCGTGGACTCCCAGGCGTCCTGATTCGGGACCAAGGCGAGGGCGGGTGGAAGCAGGAGGTCCTCGCCCTCCTTGTCTGGAGCTTTCGGGCTCGGACACAACCCTGCCGCTTATGCGCTGACTCTCCCACAGTGGATTCACACCACGCCTCTCAGGAGACAGGACACTGCTTGCAGCATTGAGCTGACGGCTTTCCCAGGTTTTTCCAAACCAGTCTCAACAACACATAGGCACCAACCATCGCCACTGACCTGGCATCAGCCAGGACCATCTTCCCTGCCGGCTCCCTGATGAGCGGCCAGCGCTCCCTGGAGCATGTGTTTCCCTGCAGCCGGAGGATGGGGGCTCCGGTCACCTCTGCTGGTGATGCTGTCCTGGGACCAGGAAGATCTTCACTTGGTGATCCTCAGACATACAGCCCTGTGGCTCGACGTCGGTCTCTGTGGATGTCGCCACAGTAACCCCCATGAGCAGACGCTGGGCCGGGTGCTGGGGCAGGGAGTGGGGTCTGCTGGGCAGTTACAGATGCTATTGGGCGCTTTGGGGCAAGTTAATTAGATGTAACTCCAGGCTTAGAGGCCGGGGAGATGAAGCGGGTGTGCTGACCCCTGACTTGCCGGACAGAGCCCCGCCTGGACTTGGGTGCGATGCCCTTTGCTCTGAAGTCTCAGTCTCCTCGGAGCATCGTTCTGATCTCACGGTCTCACAAAGAGCCGCTTCCTTAGTTTACGTCCCAGGTAAGAGCTTCAGGAGACAGTTGTGGGTACCATCCTAAAATGATGGCCAGGATGCTGGGTCCCAATTTATCACATGATAGGCTTACACATTTATTTACTGGCTGTGCGCTGAGGCCTCCTCTAGTTCTGGGGATTGAATAGAGAAGCACTTGGTACTTGACCCCATGCAGGGCCGGACGCTGCGTCCTTCCCCTCCAAGCCCTCGTGCGACCGCCTGCCTCTGCCCCCAGGTGTTCGGTACCTGGTCCCACCTGTGCTGCAGCCTCTCCCTTGTGCCAAGCCCGGGATGGCCCTGCGTCTGAGGCCAGCGTCACCCGAGACTCATTCAGCTTCTCAGGTGCTCCCGACTCCAGGGAGGCTCAGCAAGCAGGACCAGGGGCCCCCAGCCCAGGGTTGGGGTCAACCGCTGAGCTCCAGCCCCAGGCTCACGGCTCTGAGCTGCTAGGTCTTCTGCCCCCAGAAGCCGTTCAGTTCACCTCACGTGGGTGTTTCTGGCTTCAGGGTCAAAGTTGGCGTTTCCCTGAATAAGGTCCACCTCTTCGACAGACCCTCCCACTGACAATTGGGGGCCTGGAGGGACAGAGGCTGTGCAAATGGAGCAATGAGGAGGCTGGGCTGAGCCCCTCCAGCCAGAGGGTCCCCAAACCTGCGTCCTCTGCCGTGAAATGGAGGTGACAGGAACCCCACAGCCTCCCAGGTTGACTTTCACAAAAATGCAAAAAAGTAAGCATGCAAAGTGTGAACTAATTAGAGTGAATGATAGAGTTATTTTTAAATTGAAATACATGTCTGTGGATGATGGCACAAATAGACACAAGGAGGTGACCATGTGCCCAGATCTCACCTGGCCCTGGCAGGTATATAGAGGTTCCCAGTCCTGGAGGCTCCACACCTGAGCACCTGCCCTCTCTCCCCACCTGCTCCTCTGACCTACTCCACCCTCCACCCACCGGAACATGGGCTGCTGTGGCTCCAGCTGCTGGTGCCCGGGTGCTGCCAGCGTGAGAGCTGAGCTGCTGACCACAGCCCCCAGGACTGAAGCCGTGAAGTGACTGCTGTATCCAAGCTCCCTGCCTTCTATCAACTTCCGTCACTCCTGTGTTTAAAACCACATGCCAAGGCGTCTCCAAAGCCTCTCCCTGACCCCAGACACCTGTCTCCTCACTGCTGTTCTCTCCCACCCTCTTCTAATGGTTGTGTGCTCCCATGTTTCCGGGGGGGGGGGGTGTCCCTTGGGTGCCTCTGGAGGAATACAAGGTGCCGAGCTCCCATGTAACAAGCAAGGCAGACACCACGTGGGGAGAGTTTGCCCAAAAGAAGCAGGAAAAGTTAATGGATATATAAAAGGAAAACTAAAAGATATGGATAATAAAAGCAGAAGGGCCTACATGTAAAGAATAGGAATTTGAGGTTGAGAGGAGGAACTCTGGAGGGAAAGAAATATTTGAAGAAATAATTGAGAGAGTTTTCCCCAGAATTAAAGAAACACTTTTTAAAAAACGCTCATATTAAGAGGGTTTGAGAAGAAATGCACTCCTTCCTATATGTACATTGTAGTACGAATGATAAAGAGGCAATCCTAAAATTTCCCAGGTTGAAGGAACTTGAGTGCCAGAGGGCACCACAGTCCCCGGCCTCCCTAACCCTCCCCACACTGCCCACCCAGCCACACTGGGCCCAGAGGACAACGGGGGTGGTTTACGTGAAGGAAAGAACAGTCAACAGGAAATTTCACCTCCTGCCCCAAACATTTTTTTTTTTAAATTTTGGCTGCGTTGGGTCTTCACTGTTGCGCGCGGGCTTTCTCTAGTTGTGGTGAGCGAGGGCTACTCTTTGCTGCCCTGTGCGGGCTTCTCATTGCGGTGGCTTCTCTTGTTGTGGAGCACGGGCTCTAGGCTCACAGGCTTCAGTAGTTGTGGCTCGTGGGCGCAGTAGTTGTGGCTTGCGGGCTCTAGAGCGCAGGCTCAGTAGTTGTGGCATGTAGCCTCAGTAGTTGTGGCACGTGGGCTCAGTAGTTGTGGCGCACGGGCTTAGTTGCCCTGTGGCATGTGGGATCTTCCCAGACCAGGGCTCGAACCCATGTCCCCCGCATTGGCAGGCAGATTCTTAACCACAGCGCCACCAGGGAAGTCCCCCAGACACTTTTAAACATGAGGGGATAGTATGAGGGGTTAATGTTATTTTCTTCGTGGTGTCTTTTGAAGCATAACAAAATTTTAATTTTGATTAAGTCCAATTTATCCGTGTTTTCTTATACGGATCATGCTTTTGGTGTTATATGTGAGGAGTCATGCCTGGACCAAGGCTACAGATATTTTCTCCTGTGTTTTCTTGTAACAGTTTTACTTTTAGCTCCTACGTTTAAGTCCTCCTTGGAGTGATCTCTGTGGTTGCATGAGGAACCATGGTAGTTCCATCACTTGACAGTCTTCTAGGCTGGTTCCATTAACCCCCTGCTTTATCAAACGACAGCAATTCCCTGTACCTTCCTCTTCTGTCACCTTGAAAAACGCTGTTGAAGGCAGCCACTGTGGCCAGAGCAGCAGAACATGGGATACATGGATGTAGCAGAATGGGCTGCTCTCTTGTTCTGCCAGGACCTTAGGGAGAGATTGGTCCTTCTGGCCAGTAGGAGGGCTGAGTTTGGGATTCTGTTCCATGCCGGCGGCCATCACTGCCTTGTGCTCTCGTGTGGGGCCTGGGTACCTCCCCCTTCCCCTGATTTCCGCAGGCCCTTCGTGCCAGAACCACAGAGGGGGGGTTCTCCACATTCTTTCCCCTCCACTCACTTGTTTAGGTGACAATGTTTATCCAGCGTCTACTCTGTGCCAGGCACTAACCCAAGGATGGATTCTGCCAGAAAGATAAGGCTAGCAGACAATCGATTTATGAAATCCTGAAACTTCACAAATGATAAAAATCTATGAATATCTCAGATATAAGCTGCAAAGACTTATATGTTCAACCAAGTTCAAAGTCCTAAAGCTTAAAGCTCAGCGTTCATTTTTTTTAGAAAAAAGGGAAAGACTTGAAAAGCTAGCAATGTCTTTAACTTCTAAAATCCATCCGTCAGAAATTGACGCTAAACTTCATGTAAAGGTGAAACATTAGAAGAAAAAAGCTACGACCTATTCTGCTTAGCATTGTTTTGGATGATGGCATCGTGACAAAATAAAAAGTAAATGGAATTTAAACTATTTAAAAGGAGGAGACAAAACTGCTAAAACAAATAAAATCTCAGTACAAGATACAACCCCATAAATCAACAGGTTTTCTATATACCATGTACAGAAAATCTCATGTGATAACTTTTCCCATTTCTAATTCAGAAATCATAGAATACTATAGAAAACTCCTTGGCAAAAAACTAAAATAAATGAAGAAAATTTCATATATAAAAAAAAAGTTCTAAGAGCCTATTCTCCTAAAGAAAAGATCTAAATAAATGAAGGGGAATATTACCTGTTCCTTGACTGGGAAAGCTCAGTCGAACTTCAATTCTCCGAAAGTGAATCTACAAATTTAATTCCATCCCACTTAAAAGAATGGACTATTTGTATCTTACCGAGTTTCCTTAAAGTTCTTATTAAAGAGGATATATACAGAGTAGCTATTAACTTTTTGAAAGCAAAATACAAAGGAAGCAGAATGAGTAGAGATTTCCCAGACAGATATTAGAACAAACTACAAAGGACCAGTAATGAAAGAGCAGCCTGCCAGCTCAAGATGAGGCAGAGACAGGACAATGAAGCCCACCCGGGCACTCCAGCAAGCCCACCCGTCCTGACTCAGGGTAAGGTAGATGTGGCATCTTTACGTAACACGGAAAAGGACAGCCTGCCACTCAAGGGCAACAACAGCTAATTCATCTGGAGTAAAAGAAATAAATCTTGCGCTTCCCTGGTGGCGCAGTGGTTGAGAGTCCGCCTGCCGATGCAGGGGACACGGGTTCGTGCCCCGGTCTGGGAAGATCCCACATGCCGTGGAGTGGCTGGGCCCGTGAGCCATGGCCGCTGAGCCTGCGCATCAGGAGCCTGTGCTCTGCAAGGGGAGAGGCCACAGCAGTGAGAGGCCTGCGTACCGCAAAAAAAAAAAAAAAGTGTTGACAATCCCACAGGCTGGAGATCACACACCCAGCTGTGGGATGCAGAAGGGGGCATTCACTCTGGAAAACAGTTTGACAGTCTGTTAAAAAAACTAAGCATCGGGCCTCCCTGGTGGCGCAGTGGTTGAGAGTCCGCCTGCCGATGCAGGGGATACGGGGTCGTGCCCCGGTCCGGGAGGATCCCACATGCCGCGGAGCGGCTGGGCCCGTGAGCCATGGCCACTGAGCTTGCGCGTCCGGCAACGGGAAAGGCCACGACAGTGAGAGGCCCACATATCGCAAAAAAAAAGCAACAACAACAACAAAAAAAAACTAAGCATACACTTTACCCTAGGACCTAGCACTCACACTCCCGGGCATTCATCCCACAGAAGAGAAAACTTATGTCCATACACACACACACACACATACGACTGTTCATAGGAGTGTTATTTGTAATAGCGAAAACTGGAAACTAAAATATCCTTCAAACATTAGTCTGTGGATCCCATGGGAGACTGCTGATCAATAAAAGAAATAAACTATTCACACACACAATAGCATAAATGGTCTCAAGGGGAAAAAGCCAACCTCAAATGGTCACATACTGTGCGATTCCATATATGTATCATTTTGAAAGAGACAAAATTATAGCCACAGAAGACAGGCAGGTGGTAGCTGAGGGTTAGGGGTGGGGTGGGGTCTGTGACCGTCAAGGGCATGGCTACGGGGATGGGTGGTAATGTCACACTGTCCCTTCCAACCAGACCACACGGAATGACGACGGGTCCTGGGGTCACGTGTGCTATAGTTAAGGGGAGGGACACTGGGGAACGGGTGAGGTGTCCATGGGACTCTAGATTCTATTTTTGAAAATTCCTGTGCGTCTATAATTATTTCCAAATAAAAAGTATGTTTTAAAAAGACATAATAAGCTTTAAAACAAAGGAGGTTATACTGTGTGCAACCTTGTGTGTAAGAAACAAGAGGGAGGACAAAACATGCACATGGCAAGTTACTCTTGCAAACAAAGCCCACATGAAAGGTAAACCAGAAAGGAGTGAAGCAGGAAATTGGAACTTCTGGAGCCAGTTAAATGTTTTATGGTATCAAACAGGTAACATTAAATGTGATTTGAAAAATAATGGAAAACAGATAAACTGGAATAAAACCGGAATCTATAAGCATTTTACGTGAATAACTGTCTGTGAAGGCAGATGCACACGAATCTCCTGCCCACCACAATCGGGCACTGTCTTCCTCCCAGAGTGAAGGACAGGGCAGGGGACCCAGCCAGCCAGCAGGGAAACAAACTAATGACTGACATTTGCCAGCACGGCCACTGTCCTTGGTGCTGCCACACAGCTGGATGCTGTACTGGGGCCTCCCAGCCCCAAATCCCCGTGTCCCTGAGCCACGGTCAGCCGGCCCCCTCCCCAGCCCCTCCCAGCAGCCGGCCCTTCCCGGCCAGGCCCCGGCCCATCCGTCCTCCCCCGGGGTTGCGGGGGGGCGTCTCCAGGGAGGGGCCCTGCCCCACACCCTTCTCCCAGCAGAGTCCTCACAGCCAGATAAGCGCTCAGCTCAGCCCAAGGTGGGCGGAAAGGCAGAACTGCGTCCTTAATTGGTATTTTCCAGTTGACAGAACATTCTATGCTTTTTTTCACTTGTATCATTTAATTACCAAATGTTTTCATTTTTGAGAAGACCTAAAATTGCAGCGATCTGGGGGATTTAGTGAAGGAATGCAAGACCAATTTCGCCTAATTACGAAGCGTCTCGGCGGTCACTCTGGCGTGTCCCAGAGCAGGCGCTGCAGACCCCCGGGCCTCCCCGGAGGTGGGGCTGGGCGCTGACACAGATGTTTACCTGAAGTCCTGGGCCAGAGCCTGGTTCACATTCAGAAACCAGACTGTTTACAGTGGCCACATCTGCCTCCCCCTCGGCTTCGCTTTCATTTGGCTGTAACGTTCTGCAGGTCTCTCCGGGGTCCCTGTGGGAGTATCTGTGACACCACGCGAGTCACGCCATCTCCGGACGGCCCCACGGGGGGGACGCGTCGGCTCCCGGCCTGGCACCCCGGGCGGTCAGCGGGGCTCTGGGCCGGCAGTGCCGATGGGGTGGGTCCGGGGACCCCTGGGTGGGAGACGGACGGACGGGCGTTCAGCCTGGGCAACGGCCTTAGGGGGAGGGCAGGGGGCTTCTCCATGCCCCCATCCTCTCAGGCCCAGGGCGCAGGATGTCGGACCCCCTGGGGTGGTCTGGGAGCTGAGGCTGCGGGTGGGCACCGGGCTCTGTCATTGTCCCCGGACTCTGAGGGGCCTCGCTACACGGGGACCCAGCGTCCAGACCCCAGAGCCCAGTGCCCCGGTGGTGGGTCAGTACCAGCACAGGAGGAGGTGGGGGTCACAGACAGGGCTCCTGGAAGGCCAGAGCCACAGCGGGGGTCAGAGGGCGCCTGGCACAGGGGTCTGGCCCTGGCCCCTTCCCCTCCACCTGCCCCCCGACCTGCTCCCCCCTCCACCCACCAGAACACGGGCTGCAGCCCTGCTCTCACCTGCAGCCACGCCCTGGTGTCTGTCTTCTGGCTGTGCCGGACCCGCCCGAGTGGCCCACGCCCACGGGACGCCGCCAGCTCCTCTGCAGACCCCGGCTCCTCCGGGCACCAGCCTCGGTCCCCGGGTTGCAGGACCGCAGTCCCCGCCCTCTCCACACACCCAATCCCCCGGGTGATGGCTCAGGTGAAGGGCATCGCCAACCCGTGCGTCCAGGTCAGAGACCCCGCGGTCGCTGGACCTCGGCCTCACTCAGGCCCCAGACCCCTCCTCGGAGCAGCTGTCAGGCAGCCCGGACCGGCCCGTCTCTGGGTTTTGGCCCCAAGGCCCCCATCTCAATCCCACCGCCCAACCCTCTTGCAGGGCCCCCCCACATCCCCCGGGGCTGCAGCCCGCCCTGGCATCCAGAGGTGCGGCCCCCCCCCTTCCCCCAGGATGGAGCCCTGCGCTGCCGCCACGTGTGTCCGGGCCTCGCTCACGCCAGCTGCGGCCACACGCCCGCATCCCGGACGCCCAGAAAGGATGCTAACATGTGGTCACACATCCTGGCAGGCAGGAGCCTTCTTTATCCTTCTTGTTTTCCTTTGATCCCTCTGTTTTCTCCAGTTGCGGTAAAATGTATACAGCGTAAACTTTGGCGTCTCAGCCGTTTTTAAGTGCACACTCACATGGCTGTGTTACCATCACACCGTCACCTCCAGGACCTCCCGTCTTCCCCCCGACACGCTGCCCCCATAACACTCACTCCCCTCCCCTCCCCCAGCCCCGGCCCCACCATCCTGCTTCCTGTCTCTATGGATGTGATGACTCTGGAGACCTCATGGGAGTGGAATCACACAGGATTTACCCTTTTGTGTCCGGTTTATTTCACTGAGCATAATGTCCCCAAGGTTCATCCATGTTTGTAGCCTGTGTCAGAATGTCCTTCCTTCTTAAATTAAGGCTGAATACTATTCCACTGTATGGATGGACCACATTTCGTGTATCTACTCACCTGTTGATGGAGATTGCGTTGTTTCCACATTTAGCCTATTGTGAATAACGCTGCTGTGGACATGGGTGTGCAAATATCTATTTGAATCTCTGCTTTCAATTCTTTGGGTCTCCACCTAGGCGGCGGTGGTGGGGGGGGTGGTGGCCGGGTCATATGGTAATTCTATGTTCAACTCTCTTTCTCAGAAGGAACACACTCTGCTGGCTAGTGCACTCTTTGGCCTCTTCCTCTGTGCTCCCTTCTGCTTTTTAGAATGCTGATGCAATGGCGGGTGCTCCAGCAGCCATCTTAAAACATGAAGGATGGATTCCTCCAGCTAGGAGTGTGGAGCAGAAAGACGGAAGGCGCTTGAACACCTGAGTATCTGTTGGTGCCTCTTCGTAAAGAGCCTCAATGGAATCTAGACTTTAAAACTGTGATTGTGGGCTTCCCTGGTGGCGCAGTGGTTGAGAGTCCGCCTGCCGATGCAGGGGACGCGGGTTCGTGCCCCAGTCCGGGATGATCCCACATGTTGCGGAGCGCATGGGCCCGTGAGCCACGGCCGCTGAGTCTGCACGTGGAGCCTGTGCTCCGTAACGGGAGAGGCCACAGCAGTGAGAGGCTCGCGTACCGCAAAAAAACAAAAAGCAAAAAACTGTGATTTAGGCTTAAAATCCTATCTTGCTTAGGCCATTGTTACTGTGAGTTCCCTGTAATGCACTGTGTCTTTAAAAATAACACTAGATTTCGGACAAATTGGAATAACTTTTTCATTATAGAAAAGAATGAAACGTAAATCAAAGTTGACCAAATCTCACCACCCAGACGCGTGCAGACTTTGCACTCTTTGGATTCTGCTCCAGTTTTTGCTACATCTGCCCGGACTTTTTCCTTGCAAACGTGTGTGATTATGCAAATAGAGCTGTCTGCCTGTGTACCTCCCAGGACATTCATCTTTTTTACGTCCAGGACTTTAATGGCTTAATATTATTTGAAGTGGGGCTTTCCCTCTTCCATTATAATGTTAGAAATCTTTAGGCAGCGCCACTTTTATGCATCAGGCTGTTAGTTCTCCCGTAGATAAAACTGCAGCAGGGAAACTGCTGTTTCCAAGCACAGGGAGAGTTTGAGGTTGTGGTCCATTCTGCCAGGCTGCTTCCAGAAATGCTTTCCTACCTCCCTCCGCAGGCATGGGGCTCAGCAGTCAGTGGGCCTCAGAGCAAAAGCTAAGGCTGGTAACATCTTCCCAGGCTGCCCTCGCAGACAGAAGGGGCGCCTCTCTTTCCTTTCCCAGTTTTTTCTTTTCTTTTGTTTCTTTCCTTTTTTTTTTTTTCTTAGCAAAATGGTGAACATTTTTCATACCTGTGGCTAACATCGTAGCTTGCCCATTGAATGTGGGTTTTGGGGTATTCTTCAATGTTTGGTTCCTCTAGATATTAATGGTAACAACCTCTGTCATTATATTTAGCGAGTGTTTGACGGCACTCGGAATTTGTTTGGCTATCAGTTTAATTTGGTTATATCTAAAGATACCTGTGTTTGTGGGCTTTTTAGTGACAAAGGGACGTGGCCTGAATAACCAGGACCGGCAGCGCTTCAGTGCACAGGATAAGGTGGGCAAATCCAGTGACTTCTCTCCGTTGAGGTGTGGCTTGGGGGGATGACAAACACTTGCTAGTCGCTGGTGCGATGCACAGCTAAGGTTCTGCATGTCCATGTAGTGGCTCAGTTATGTAATCGCCGTCCCGCACCCCGCGCGTCCTGGCTGACACAGAAACCTCTGCATCTTTACAGAAGGGGAGTCTGTTCACGGAGCCCCTCCTTTGGGCTCACACAGAGGGCGGGTCATGGAACTCCGACAGCAGGGAATGAAGGGCTGTCACCAGTGGCTCCTGGTCAGATCACGGCTACTGGTGCCAAGGCAGAGGGCTTTATCCCAGAGGAAGGTTTTAGGCAGGTTTCCTAACTAACGTGCGGGGTGGAGGCCGCGTGGCCCTGGACTGTGTAGGAGAAGCTGCCACCCTGCCGGGGGCCCGGCTCCTCCCCGCTGCCCTGCAGCCCCGCCCAGCCCTGCCCGGAGCAGGGAGGAGCCTCCCGGCCGCAGCCCAGCGCCCGCTCCCGCCACCTGCAGGGCAGCGGGGCCCAGCGGCCCTGCGGCTCAGCGAAGGACAGCACGGGGGCTCTTGCTCAGCTTGTCTCTGTTCCGGTCCCGCAGCCTTGGTTGGTGCGGGAGAGACGTGAGCAAGGCCCCGAGCATCCAGGGCCCGGCCCGCTGTGCGCCCCGGATCCGCACCCTCACCCCACGCTGACGCCCCCCCATAGCCGGCCGCTCAGGCAACGAAGCGGTGAAGGCGCCCGCAGCGTGACCACCCTGCAGCTGCTCCCAGGGGAGGGGGCTGAGCTTGCACGGGTGTGTGTGTGTGTGTGTGTGTGGCGGGGGCTCCCTGCACGGTTTGCCTCTTGCTACCACGTTTGCTACTTGTGGCAATATTTACTGCTTGCTGCCATGTTTGCTACTGGCTAAGATATTGCTGGCCGTGCAAGTGTCATCTGGGCCTGTGGTCATTATGCCCCTCCATCCCTGCTGGGCACTCTGGGTCGTAGGGAACCAATGCAAGCGTGCTGATGTCCACACTGCGTGCGCCGTGCTGGGAGTCATGTGGCCTCTGTCTGTGACCCAGGGTGGATGGAGCCTGGCTTGGGGCAGTTCCTCTTTGTGGACCGTGGCAGCTGCCTGGGTGATGCCTGCAGCCAGAGCATACTGGCTGAGGCAAGTGTGGTTATTTGCATCCCGAGACAGTAGCAGGCTGACCTGTCTGCTCTGAGTAGGGTGCTGTGTCTCACCCAACACCTGGCTCAGCCATCAGGATCTTTCAAACAAACTCAGTGACACACTGGGGTCCTGTCTCCCGGGTGCCCGGCACAGTCCTCAAGCTCACCACCCTCCTCCCAAAGGGCTCCTGTCCCCACCTTCAGCCTCCTTCCCAGCCCTGCCTGGTCCTCCTGCAGCGGCTGCTGCTGTCTCCTCGAGGCTAAGTTCCCAGCGGCCTCCTCTCCCCCTTCTCTTGTTTTCTTCTCTCTGCCTCTCCTTCCCCCAACTTCTTTATTTGACATCTGTAGGCAAGAAATTCCCGGCGTGACCCTCCCCCATAGCCGTGCTCCCACACATGCTTTTGTGATCCGCTACCTACTGGACGCCGCACGGCTGGTCGCGGGCACCTGCCCATCCACACAGGGCTGCCCCGGAGCCCCATCGCCCCAACTGGGGGAGAGCCACGGCTCCTGGGAAGAAACCTGGGCATCGTGCTGGGGACTGGCTCTTCCTTCGACCCCACACCCCATTCATCAACAGAGCCGTCATTTCCAGCCCGTGCACATCTTGAAGTCATGGCTGACAGCCCCCCTCGGGCCCCATCCCAGCCTCCATCATTTATGTGCCTGAAGCTTTATTCTCAGAACCTGGCCCGTCCCTTCCATTCTTCTTTCTGTCTGACAACCTGTCATCACAGAGCAGCGACAGTGGTCTCTAAAAAACACAAACCATCCCCTCTCACCCCCTCTGCAAAAGCCCCGCTGGCTCCCCGCTGTACTTAGAAGAAAAGCTAAAAGCCTCCACGGAGGCCGGTGCTGCTGGGCTGAGCGCGCGTCTTCTCGTGGGGCTGTATGAACACACGCTTGGGGTGTGGGGTGACGGGTCACCACAATGTCACGTGCCCCAGGACAGATGGATGGATGGTGTCTCCTTTCTGGCCCATATTTTATTATTAAATAAAGTTAGTTAACTCAATTTTATAGTTTAAGGCATGTGGATCTAAACCTTTTTTGTTCAACTTATTTCTGGTTATTCCATAGTTCAGCCGCTTGTGTCATTGGTGATGTCAGGTGAAGCCGTGGGTTTGGGGTTTTGTGTATTTTTCCTTGTTCTCTCTGCCACTTCACATATAAACACTGTCTTCCCCAGATGGACAAGGGCTGTGCTCCAGGCCAGGCGCACACAAGCATCCACCCAGCCAACACTGCCTCTTTGCTTTCTTGGTCTGATTTGCCAAGATCTAGTCAAAGACCAAACATCAGGTCTGTTGAGTTGTTTCGTTTTTCCCCCTTCTTTTCTATTTCTTTATTTTATGCTTTTATCTTCGCTAATTCACCTCTTTTCGAAAAATTGAAGTCAAAAACTTTGTCTCTAATTCCCTAACAGTTGTTTTTATTTAAATAAAAGGATTGCAATATGCGTGTCGTTCTGCATCCTTACAAGTTTTCTTTAATTCGTACATTCCTTTAGATATAAAAAACAAAAATCTGACTTTTGTTACTAGGCAAACAATATAGCGGTAAATAAATTAAAAGTGAAAACTTCCCCCCAACTCCCTCTAATTCCAATACCACATTGTCAAAATGAACACATTTTCAGCTTTCTGTGCTCATGTGAACACAGACAGACAGAGATCTTTTTTTATTTCTAAAACAGGAATATTTTAAGGTCACATTTGTATATTTAACTCATTCTTTACAAATAGTTGCATAATATTCCATAGCTGAGTTGTATCATCATGTATTAAACAGTCACCCTGTTGGTGGAAAATCATATTATTTCCAGATCATTTGTTGTGTATTGTTTTGCAGTTTCCATGACACATAATGCCACGGTAGACATCCTTGTTTATGAATATCTCCGTGCTGACATGTTTCAATTAAAGCTAAGGTCCAAAGGGGGCTTGAAGAGACAAAGGATATTTGCAATTCAAATGCAAAAGACAAAAACAAAAAGACTAGTAGAAATATGGACAAATAATGTAAATGAAAAATTCGTATAGAAGAGGAAACACTGATGGCCGGAGCGCATGTGAAAGGACCAGCAATAGTCGTACCAATGCAGAGGAAAACTACAGATGAGATCCATCACTCATCCCGGGTCGGGGAGGAAGCAGGGGGCCATCAGTCACAGCCAGGAGCACAGCCCGTTCATCCCAGTTTGCCCAGGATTCGTCCCCTTTCCCACTGAAAGTCCCGCACCCGGGAGACCCCTCAGACTTGAGCAGCCCCAATGGGTGCAGCGAGCTCAAACTCTCTCCCCAGTGATTTGTCAACGGCAAACAAGGGGTCCCGCAGGTACCTGCCCCCCACCCAGGTTTCCGACTGCGTTTCTCTCCTGAGTCTTCTGTTTTCCACCCCCG